CCTTCACTCCCTTCTCTTCTCTTCACTTTCCCTCTCTAGCCTCTTCTCCGCGTGCTGGCACGTCTTGACCCCTACGTCCAGCCTCTCGTACACCCCCGCCTCATCTGATACACAGAGCCCTCGCCGCACCTTTGCTGTTGCGCGTTGATGTAAGTCCTATAGTCCATTGTTGTAATTACACCCATCCACCCTACACACAAACAGACGTACATGCCTGGTACAAGGTCAAGGTCAAGCTGGTAGCCCGCTTGTCCGCATCCACGAATTGAGAAACTGTCAAACCCCGCCGTTACCGTTTGCCCTTGACCCGTAACTTCTTGCCTTGTCTCAGGCAGGCCTTGGCGGTTTCCTACACGTCTCACGACCTTCACCATCTAATTCAATCCACACCTTCTTGTATTAGTCACTGACGGCAACAGCGCCCCTCTTCTACATTCATTCTCTGTGTCCTACAAGACGGACACCCATTCGCTTCTCTAACCTTCTACTTCTTCTTCTCCCTCTTCTTCTTCTTCTTCTCCTCGGACCGGATCCCTTCTGTTCTCCATCATGAAGACCTTTTTCGCCATCGCTACCGGTCTCTTGGCTGCCGCCTCCACCACCCTTGCCTCGCTCAATGATGCCTCTCTCAACGACGCCGGTGAGGGTTTCATTGGCAGCGACCATATCAAGGAAGTCGCAGACAACGAGTACATCATCACCTTCATGCGCAATGAGACCATCCCAAGAGGACTCGACGAATACCTCGAGGAGATGGATCTCGCCAATGACAATGTCATCTTTGAATCGCAAAACAACTACACCAAGGTCTGGATTCTCAGGATGTGCGAAAGCCAAGCAAAGGCTTTGAACGAAAAGGTCGAGATCTCGTCTGTCGAAGAGAAGACGATGATCCAGTCGTTTGCCGAGACCAAGAGTGGCGCTCCTTGGGGTCTGCAGGTCATCTCCAACGAGGCTGGCGCTTCTGGATCCCCGCAAGGCCAGGACTTCACCTATACCTTTGACGATTCGTCGCTTGGCGCCGGTGTGGACATTTATGTCATTGACACTGGAGTACGAACCTCGCACGCGGTCTTCACAGGACGTGCAACTCAAGGCTTCACTGCTACTGGCTCCTTTGTGGATGGTGACGGCCATGGCACTCATGTTGCTGGTACGGCTGGAGGCGCCAAGTTTGGTGTGGCACAGGGCGCCAACATCATCGAGGTCAAAGTGCTCAGTGACAATGGCTCTGGTTCTTCGTCCGACACCATTGCCGGCATGGACTGGGTCATCACCAACCATGAGAAGCGCAAGAAGGAGCCCGGCTTTGTCGGATCCATCATGAGCATGTCGTGGGGTCTTCAGGGCACAGCCAACGCAGTCGACGAGGTCATTGCTGGTGCGCTGGACGCTGGTATTCACGTCTCGGTCGCTGCAGGAAACGATGGCGCGGACGCCTGTGGCTCCACGCCAGCCCATCTCGGTGGCGCAAACTCCAACGTCGTCACAGTTGGCTCCGTCAACATTGACAGCGAAGTCTCCACCTTTTCCAACATTGGCAGGTGTGTGGACATCTACGCGCCTGGCGAGCAGATTCTCAGCGCATGGAGCACCGGCGACACCATTATCAACTTCCTCTCCGGCACCTCGATGGCCTGCCCCCACACCACCGGTGTCATGGCCTACCTCATGGCCGAGGACGTCGCGGGACTTGGCCAGAACCCCGCGGCGCTCAAGCAAAAGCTGCTGGCCACGGCTCGCGAGGGCAAGATCTCAGGCCGCACGGGCGGCAGCGCCAACCTGCTGCTCAGCAACGGTGTCGACGGTGGTGTCGCTAAGCGCCTGGTCAAGAACTACGTGGTGCCCGACCGCAATGGCAGCCCGGCGGCTCGCGCCATCGCCGCGGTGAATGAAGGCATCGTCATGGACAAGCGCTTCCAGCTGCACTCACGCGACGCACAATTGCGATTTTAAGACGCATTGCCATGGGCGCAAGCGCCCTGTTGCATGATTTGATAATTCTGGTCAACACTCTTATCAGAGACCCTCGGGGAAACAAACAAGAAAAAGGTCTTTTTCTGGACATCACCGATACCTATCCCCCTCGTCTCTTTTCCCCCTTGTCTGGGCGCATAATCCGTCCCCGAGATAATAATCATCTACTCTGCTCTGTGCCCGGTTTTTTTTTTGTCTACCCCCCACCATATATCAGCATGGCTCAGTCGTTGACTGCCCTTTTGAGAAAATGAAAATGTATACTTGTCGAGTTGTGCTGGGTGGATGGAGGGCTGGCGGTTGGAAAAGATATGGGGCTGTGGGAGTGGGACTGTGGTGTTGGATGGATGGGGTGTGTGGTGGATGTAATTTTCGCTGTCAATACTTTTGGATTTATTGCATTGGCGGGGCTGCGTGTGTGTATGTGTGTATGTTCATGTGTGGGTGGTTGGGATGCGGGGATGTAGATGAGATGAGATGAGATGAGATGAGATTAGCAGATTAGAAGAGACGAAAATCCAAGGGATGATGCAGACCCATGGATGCGGTATTTTGATGTGCTTTTACTTGTGTATGTCTGGTTGATGAGAGATGAGTGATGTGTGATGATAGCATACGCATGTGGCTTGCAGGAATTACATTTAGGGCAGTCTGCCTCCCTCTATCATGCCTCCTCATCTCGTCCCTGAATCTAGAGCGTAAGTCTGTGTTTAAGCGTAACTCGAGAGTTTTGTACTTGTACGAGGTGATTGGAAGGATAATGAACAAGTAGCGGTATCATGGTGTAGGCATCACACGCTTCAATTTGATCAGGTACATGTGAGTGTTTGAGTGAGATTAAGATATTCTAATGCTTCCACCATGCATCTGATTGCGTCATCAACTGCCTAACCTGATGCTCAACATATGAAAACAAACAGCCCCGGGGGTGGAGTGAGTGAGTCCACACCCAAAGGAGCGGGGCGGGAATAAAAATCTCCAACCATCTCCACCCCTTGCTTTTTTCGGGATTTCCATTCCATGGAGAAAAAAAAAAGAATCAGGAAAAACCACAACAATCGTACACGATGAATCCGCCTGTGCCCCCACGCCGTGCAGCCTTTTATACCCTAGATTGAATGCAAAGAAGAAGTCGCCCCCTTGCCAAGTCAACTGGTATCGGGGGGCGTCACAAATTTAAACCCCGTCTATTTTGCAAAGTGTAGGTCGTATCCGAGCCACTTCCTGGCGTTGACCTGGGGAACGGTGAGACCTGGAGCGCCGTAGGTGAGCGGCGCAAAGTAAAAGAAGCTCCATGCCACCAAGGATAGAACGACACCAGTAGCAATCCAGCTGCCCATTTGGCTGGAGGAAGCGACGCGCTCACGAACAGGACGAGAACGAGTCCTGCGGTGGCCCTTGATGGCAGCGGCGGCCTCGGCGTCTTGCGGTTCAATGCAGAAGATGAACTCGACTAGAGCACCAGTGACAAGGCACGACGCGAGATGCGCTGGGAGGTAGTGGTGCAAGAAAAGTTGGCGGCCCATGATGAAGAAGGGGACGTAGTGAGCTGCCCATGTGAGGAAGAAGAAGCCAGTCGAGTTGTACAGACGCGATCGGGTGCCTATAGCGGTTTTAGTAAAGATAGAACTAGTGGAAAAAAGTCGGGCGACTCACGTTGATCTAGAGCATCCACGCCACGGCGGAGAGCCAACTGGTCAGCACCAATGACACCAGCAAACACGGCAAGGAGCGAAGAGGCAAGCCACCAACCAAGTGGGTTACCAAGGAAGTAGATTTGCGAGCGAGTGTCGTTTTGGGTCCAGAAAGACACACCACGGAGGAGGAACGGCCAAGAGATGGGTTGCGAAGCGTATGGGTGAGAGCTCGTCAGAGCGTTGTTGTGGTGAAACATGGCACGCTGGAGCTCGATCCACTTGCGGAGAAAACTGAGGTGCTTCACCTGCTTGACTTGCTTCTTGTTGCGCTCATCGTCGGCCGGGAGAGACGGAATATCATCAACGTACCAGATGTTGCTAGATTGCTGGGCATTCTTGTTACCGTTAATCTCAGCCTGCTTGTAAGCCCAGTCCGGGAGCGGTGTGGTATGGGTCCACATGGCAACCTTGGTGGGCACGTGGACGAGCTTAAAGTGGGTAGACATGGTCTTGAATTCCCCCTTGCCTTTGTCCACCTTGATCTCGAACAAGGTGTCATTGAAGCGCGACTCATTCGCCTCCTCCTTGGGCACAGCGGTGAACTCCTGGTTGGTGGGGTAGTAAGGAGAGGCAACATCGTGTGTCAATAGATATGTATCGGTAATGAGGTGGCGGAGACGGATGACGTCGCCGACCTGGACGCGCTGGCCGACCTCACTCTTCAGAGGCTTTGAGGGAAGAATTTGCCAGTGGTTGTTGGTGTCATTGTGGGGATATCCTGTGACTTGCTGTCCCTGGGAAGAGACACGGCCATCTTCGTAACGCAGAGGGTATCGATCTGGGTGACTGTGCAGGTAGACCTTGGTGTCCTTGTGGCGCACCGTGATGGAATCATAGTAGTTGATACCAACGGACTGGAGACTCATAATGTTGTCGCTCAAAGTCTCTTGGAACTGTGGGGTCATGAAATCATCGCCTGGGCCGGAACGGTTGAGGATGGTGAAGTGGACCTGGAACCAGAAGAGATACAGCAAGAATGGGACAACGACCAGGCCAACAGCTCGAGCTGCAAAATGCTTGCCAAAGTCGTAGAGAGTCAAGGCACCCTGGCGACGATTGACATCCATAAGGTCCCACAAGTCAATCAAAACCGGGACACCAACAGAGAAGAATGTAAAAACACCGACATACTTGACGGAGATGACGCAGCTCAGACTGATGCCAGTCAAGAGCAGCCACTTCCACCATGTGCGGCTGAAGGCCTGGTGACGCTGCTTGTAGAAACGAATGTAGCTGAGGACGGAGAGGGCCATGAAGAAGATGAGCGAAGCGTCGAGGAGAATCAAGCGTGTCTGACCAATGTGGGCATTGTCAAAGAGCATGAGGCCCGCTGCTGTGATGCAGGCTGGCAGCGAGTATCCCGACTCCCACATGATCCTGAAGACGATGGGGACCGTAAGGGAACCGAGCGTGGCGGGCATGGCACGGTATGCGACATAGGGAACTTTGTTGGTAATGTAGGAGTCGCCAATATTGTCAAACAGGAACTCGCCCTTGTAACCAACCAGCCAGCCAGCCAATGCGAAGAGGAGTTTGCCGAGAGGAGGATGGACATCGAAGAAGTAGGTGCGTTGCAGATAGTATGAAGCGAACTGCACAATGGTTATCAACCCATGTCTGAGCCAGGTTCCTCCCCTCCCCGCCAGGAAGTAGGTGGTAGTGCGGGGATTGGAGCCAGTTTCCAAAGACTGCCTACCTTGCCAAAGTGCACCTCATCGAACACGACCTCATTGGGATGGTTGATAGCCCAGAAGCGCGTAATGAAGGCCAGCACTGTGATGACGGTAATCGCAAGCTTGTAGTCCCACTCGCTGTCCTTCTGAGCAGGCTTGTAGGGCTTGGCCTTCTCCACGACGACCTCGGTGAGCGCCTCTGGGTTCGGTGTGCGCGGCCTCTTGGAATCCTTTCCAGGTCGTTGGCGTACACCAGCGGGCGACGTCATGGTGGGCTGTAGCTCAATGAAGCTGCCTGCAATCCTTCAAATCAGTATTTTGGTATTCACGGTAAGTAGTTCACGAGATACACTCACCTCACACGGAGAAAAAGAAAATAGCCGATGGACTCGGAGGGGGTGAAAGAGAGTTGCAGGGAACACTGAGCAGGTCTTCATCAAGCCAGATCAGCTTGCTGGTGCACGGAGCCCCTTTCTCACCAAATGTAAGGGTCCACTTCGTACTCCTGTAAAGCTGTTGGCCAATCAGAGCAGGCCACCCCATCACCCTTGGATTCTCGTCCCAAAGTGGCCAGATAGTCACAGACATTCTTCCTCTCCGACATGTCCTAGGGATAATAGTCTTCAGCTGCTGGATTGTCCTCCAAGAGATACATTCAACATGACAATCCTGTACATGCAATTGTACCCGGGGCGTCCCACCTCCAAGCACGCGGCCCGTCTTCCGTTGGGTAGAATCTCCAGGGTCTATCTGGCCCTCGATCTGTATCTACCGATACCTAGTCTACAAGATAGGGCCAGCCATAATTTGTTAGTCCATATGTCGAGGGTACATAGCAGCATGGAGCTGACGAAACCGCGTACTCGCATGAACAAGAAAGAAACCCCCTCAGAAGCAAGCATGTGCCCCTTGTATCCCCCCCTTGCCTACACAGTAAACTTGTACGATCACTTGCTACCGCTCATTGGGCCTTCTTGCCATTCACAGCCTCCACCTTGTTCTTCTCCTTGTCCTTCTTCTTCTGTGGAATCCTGTACGTTGTCTCCCACCCGTACAAGGCACCCGCTCCAAACACCATTGCAGCACCAAACTTCATCATGCCACTCATCTGGTTGCCAAAGAGCCAGATACTGAGCAAGAAACTAACCAGCTTCCTGATATTCAACACTATCGTAACAGTCACAGCAGACGTATTTGCGCTGAGAATATTGACCCCAGTGATGCAGAGCAATTGTGTTATCGCATTAGCAGTGAGATAGACCACGTGCTGCGAGGTCGAGTTGAGCATCTTGAGGAACGATGGCGGTAAGGTGGACGCAATGTGGAGAGGTACCCGGAAGGGCTCCGAGGCTTGAAGGCGCTTGAACTGATCCAGCAAGACTGGCGAGAAGCCAGCGAACAAGGGAATAGATAGCAAGTGCGAGTAGAATAGATTGGCCTGCCAGTCTTTGCCATGGTCGCGGTAAACGTCCTCCACATAAGCGCCCATATATGCGGAAAGCAGCTGGGCCACAAGAAGAATGAGCAATCCAGCGCCGAAAGACGAGCTATTCGCATCATTGGTTGAGGCGTGCATGTTCTTTCCCTGTGAGATGGTTAGCACCCGATTACTACCGGTACTATTCACCGCGCATCGTACCTTTGACGCCGCATCTGCCCATGCAGAGACCATTACTCCTACGGTCAAGAATGCAACAGAAAAGACCTGCAGATAAGTATATCTCTTGCCGCGCAGCCATCCAGCAGCCATTGTCGTCACACTACCAAAGCTTCTCAGAATGATGTGGACTGGAACAGAGATGCTAAAAGCGAAAGCCCAATTATTCATCATGTTCACGGTGAAGAACAACGCTGCGCTGATGCACCATTTTCGAAACGGCACGGAAGATGACCTGACAAAATAGCGGCCGTTTGGATCGAACTGGTAATGCAGTGTCGACAGACATGTAAAGACAAACTGGAAAAGAGTGATGAGAAGTCCACTGTCGGGTTCTTTCCTAGACCAATATCAGTGAGTGCGATGCAAAGCATGCATTACAACATACTTTACTATTGCTTCGAGACAGTAGACCTGCACTTTGATCAGTATGTGACAGATATTTTTATACGGGCGAGCCTACATTTGCGCAACAGCCTCCGAAAATGAGCGAGAAGCTACCAAGAATGGGTGCGAGGGCAGCCATATCGATGTGAGTTGTTGTCGATGCAATTGAGTGTGCTATCACCACCCCTGGCTGTCGATGAAGAATAGGAGCACTTGAGGGAGCTTCAAAGATTGGAAAGGTAGTCTAATACTTATTAGGCATGTGGCGTAGGTGAGTTTGGAGGGTCACGGATGACGGTGCGATGGTATCCGGGGATTATGGGGACTGATGCCCGGAAGGTCTGACCCAAGATACAATCTGAGGGGCCAAGGAAAACGTACAAAAGTGAAAAGAGACAAAGATCGTGCCAGTTCAGAAACCTATCATGGTATCAACAATGGATCTAGTAGTTTGTGAGATGGGGTAACGTGGAGCTTTAGCTGCCAGGGTCTGCAGAGCCTCAGGGCGCTAAGGATGATTAGCGGCGCCGAGCCAACTTCATTGGGTAGGGAGCCAATACATCACACGACAGTTCGGATACCAAATCTTGTTCATGGTTTCTTTTCTTGTTCTCTGCACCACTCAGAGTTATTATTGTGGTGTTTCAGTCTACGCTACCGTGCATCCCATCCATTCGCAATGCGCATAAAGACATCAATCATCAGCGTTTCCCCGCCTGTCCCCCAGGAGTGCTCCGATTCTACCATCCTAGCGCCAGGCAAGCTTATGGGCCAAACTAGAGAAGGAATGTGGAGGAATATATCGCCAAAGGATACACAACCCAATGCTCTGTTTTGTTCGGTGAGCGACTGTGAAGATCGCACTTATGTGGACGCCTGATTCTACAAAGCGCTGAAAACGAAGAGCTGCACGTCGTTAGTGGCTATCATGGCATCTTCAGATACAGGAGACTTACGTTGTTTGTAGCCGCAATGGCAATGCTGTCCTCGAATGGATGCCAGCTCATGTGCAGGATCTTCTTGTTGAAGTCGATCTGATCCGCATCCGTCTCCTTTCGCATGCGTTGCCCTTGACCCACTGCACCAGCAGCCGGGCTACCGGCTCTTGAACCACCCTTCTTACTGGTGTTGCTGCCGGTGGGGCTCGTCGAAGAATTCATAGGGGTTGGGATACCCACCTTCTTCGCCTTGAACGCCGACTTGTCGGCTTGTAGGACAACCTCCGTGTCCTTCTCTGGGTCTGAAGGGTATATCATGAAGTTGTTGTTGTAACTACCGGTCATGACGTTCTTGGCATCGCCCGAAAATACGACCTCGAACTTGTCGAAAATGCTGTCGTTTTCATACGTATCACAGAGCCTCGGTCGGAGGTGCTCATGAATGGGAATGGTCTTTACAGGGGTTCGCTCCATGTTCACATCCCAGATCTTGACAGTGAGGTAATCGCGTGATAAGATGTAACGTCCATCGTGTGAGAACCGCACATCGGAGATGGACGAGATGATCTCTGAGAAGAAAGAACGAGAAGATGGATCTTCTTCTTGTTCGAATTCTGAGGCAAGATTAGTAGCTTTTCTCCGATCCAACATAAAGGACTTACGTTTGGCGTGCTGATCGCACAGAGCGCTCTCTCGCATGTCTGCAAGCTTGATCGTGCCCTTGGAGCTTGCATACATGAACCAGTTACAGCTAATTGGATGGAATTCAGCGGCTGTGATGACCTCTGTAAGCTCCTCCATATTGGCAGGCTTGATATCGACAATGTTAAAGCTCTGGTCCTGGATGTTGAGGTTCCAGAGATTGATTCGCAGATCGTCGCTGCTTATGAAGGTCTCTCCATCGCTGTTGACCGATATGCTGTTGATGTGGTATGCATGTGCGTTTGCGTACGTCTTCCGAGGCACTGCTGCGACAACCGTGTCGTGATGTGTGAGACGAGGGAGCTTCAGATCGGTGGCGTTACGGAACTGCGCATTTGGGTTCCTGACTGGACCGCCGCCACCGGCAACCCCTCCACCAGGCGTCAACTCGTGCGAAAGATTGTTTTCTGCCACCACCTTGAGTGACTTTTCAAACACCTTCCATAGCTTGATCGTCTTGTCATTTGTGGAGAGCAGGTAGTGGGATGCATTTTGGCGACGACACCACTTGATTTTATTGATCTTTTCTTCGATTTCGAGGGATTTTAGATAGTCAAACTCGGGTTCGTGTGATTGGAACTCTGTGTGGAATTTGTATTCACAGGTTTTTTTCTAGCACAGATCAGCATTGCCGTACGAGACCAGGGATTCCCATCGGTGGCCTACCGTCTCATTCCTCTCGAAAAGAACAACACGGCCACCCTTGTCGCCTGTTGCGAGGTAATTGCCCGTCTGGTCAAACTCTACGGTGGAGATGATGTCGGCTGCGCTGTCTGTCAGCCATGCATGCTAGCATTAACGAGCTGTATAGGGTAGAAGAAGGAAAAGCTTGGTACGTACCTTCGGTTATGTCTTCGACATCGCCTTTGTCACCAAAACACCTGCTGTTGTCAGTAACGTCACTGGAGGCGAGGCGAATCTGCGGGGCAACCCTCTAAAGCGGCAAACTAGAAAATCGGACGGTGTTCATGCACGCAAATCTTGTGGCAACCTACTGGGTGAATTTCCACGTCGTGGGGTTGCCCTCTGCTTCTACCATGATTATGAGGCGCGACTGTGCGGCGAACAGCAGAGTCCGATGTGATGATGATGATGATGATGATGCTGAGCTTTCTCGTACTCTTTGTACAGAGCTGTATGTAGTGGGGAGCCAGGGAGGTAGGGGCTAATGGCGGCGGCGGCGGTGTTGCGTTTGTTGCGGTGTTGCGGAGGTAGGTGGCGCCGCCGACGACGTCGAAGGTTGGCAGGTAAGTGGTGTGTGCAGGTGGGCAGCAGTGGGCAGCGGGCGCTGAATGCAACAGACGATGTACGTGTGTGTGTGGGTGTGGGTGTGGGTGGGGGTGACTCGACTCAACCTCAACTCGTAGGCAGGATGACGAGAGAGCAGCAGCGGGTGGGTGAAGGGGGGGTTAGGCAGGCGGGCAGGGAGAAGAGCAAGTAAGCTGAAGCTGTACAGGTACAAGGACAAAGCGTGTAGTGTAGTAGTCGGCCGACAGCTCGATCCTCTGTTGGCTGGCTGGCTTGCTGGCTGGCCGGCTGGTGGGGTGTATCCTTGGCGTCCGGCCTTCCGCCTGCTGCTTGGATGCTACCTACCTAGCAGTACTTACTAACACTACTCACAGTACCAGTACTAACAAGTACCAACAAGTACCAGTGCCGACCCTTGCCCACAATGCTCAAAGGCTCAAGTCGCTGCTGACTGTCCGGCTCCGGAGAGCCCGCGCTTTACCCGGCCCAGTTTAGCCCCATCCCGCTCGGGCCACAACACACAGAGCGTTAGCGAACATAGTGAATATTTCGAGGCCGAACTTCTATCAGTTCCAGCTTCTGTTCCTGTTCCTGCCACTTCGACAATTGCCAACTAACCCCAACAGCACATCGAACTCGCCATGTCTCACAGGAAGTTCGAAGCTCCCCGCCACGGGTCTCTGGCTTTCTTGCCGCGAAAGCGCGCTGCCCGTCACCGGGGTAAGGTCAAGAGGTAAATTCCACACCTTCGCTTCTTCGCCCGTCGCGAGACGGCGTGGGCATGTCGGGCACAAAAGGACTTACAACAATGCCAGCTTCCCCAAGGATGACCCCAAGAAGCCCGTCCACCTCACCGCAGCCATGGGCTACAAGGCCGGTATGAGCACCATTGTCCGCGACCTCGACCGACCCGGTGCCAAGCTGCACAAGAAGGAGATTGTCGAGGCTGTCACCATCATTGAGACACCTCCGGTACGCACACACGAATCCTGCAAAAGATTACAATTGGTGGGCAGTGCTAACAAATTATCAGATGATCGCTGTCGGTCTTGTTGGCTACATTGAGACCCCTCGCGGTCTGCGCTCGCTCACCACCGTCTGGGCCGAGCACTTGAGCGACGAGGTCAAGCGCCGCTTCTACCGCAACTGGTACAAGAGCAAGAAGAAGGCTTTCACCAAATACGCCAAGAAGCACTCGGAGAATAGCGGAGCGTCCATCACCGCCGAGCTCGAGCGCATGAAGAAGTACTGCACCGTCATCCGCGTTCTCGCCCACACCCAAATCTCCAAGACCCCACTCAAGCAGAAGAAGGCCCACCTCATGGAGATCCAGGTCAACGGTGGAAGCATCGCCGACAAGGTTTCCTATGCACACGGCCTTTTCGAGAAGCCAATCGAGATCAGCTCCATCTTCGAGGCCAACGAGATGATCGACGTCATTGCCGTCACCAAGGGTAAGGGTTACAACGGTGTCACTTCCCGTTGGGGAACCAAGAAGCTCCCTCGCAAGACGCACAAGGGTCTCCGCAAGGTCGCTTGTATCGGTGCCTGGCATCCTGCCCACGTCCAGTGGACTGTCGCTCGTGCTGGTCAGATGGGATACCACCACCGTACCTCTGTCAACCACAAGATCTACCGTATCGGTAAGGGTGAGGACGAGGGTAACGCCTCGACCGAGTTCGATGTCTCGAAGAAGCAGATCACCCCGTAAGTTTTTTTATCTGGTTCCTCAGCAAGCACAAACACTAACATGAAATCAGCATGGGTGGCTTCGTTCGTTACGGTGAGGTCAAGAATGACTTCTTGCTGCTCAAGGGTAACTGCCCTGGTGTCAAGAAGCGTGTCATGACTCTGCGAAAGTCCATGTTCACACACACCAGCCGACGAGCACTCGAGAAGGTGGAGCTCAAGTGGATCGACACCTCTTCCAAGTTCGGTCACGGTGCTTACCAGACCGCGGCAGAAAAGAGGCAATACGAGGGTACCATGAAGAAGGACCTCCAGGCCGCATCTTAGAAGTGTTCTGGACGTGGTTAAGGAGTGCATTCTTTCTTCAGGCTTTGGCGAACAGGGATAGGTTTACTACATGGATGCCAATCATGACGAGCGATTGAAAAACAATTCAACGATTCCCAATTCAAGTTACTTGCATCTTCGCTATTCGATTGTGATGTCTTGGTGATTATTCATTCGTCAGTTTGCAGTTTAGCAGGGTAATTTTTTTGATTTTTTGGACAGCCCATGTTGTCTCGTTGTTTGGTGTGGTCGCATTGCAAGCGAGATCTGAAGATGATGAGGCCGGTAGGTACAAGGAAAATGATCGAGCAAGAATCAATTATACGATGCTCCAATAGGGATAGCGATGTACGTGTGGTACTCTAGGTATCACTGCACCAGCTTTCGCAAGGCTAGTGATTTGGATGCTCGTTGAGTGTACTTGGACATGTGCCAATATGGCAGAGAAACATGATTGCAGTCCGCCTATTTCAAGTGTGGGGGTTCTGCTGTGGCCACTACCGGTACTCAAGGGCCGGCGGCGTCATTCTCATGTGATCGAATGGAAATGTCTATGACGCCAACAAGTCAGTGCATGTATCTGCACCATCAGCGGCAAGCAACATCGGAAGCCAGCACAACATAGGATATGTGACTCGATACTAGAGTGGTCGGTACAGTGGTACAGTGATCAATACAAAGTGCATTGGTGTGAAGAATGGAGTGTCGGAGAGGTGGTGCAAGCTTTCATGTGTCATCTGCCAAATGCTACTTACTATGCTACTTACTCAAAGGTGTCGCAGAGACAGAGCAGCTTGGCGTGTACTCTGTATTGACCTGAGACCAAAACAAGTCGCTACAGTTTCTAGTACCACGAGCAATTGAGGCAAATAAAACAATCGTCTTGTATGGCGCTCTCGAAGAAAAAAGGCCGGGTGAGAGGGAATTCAAAGCCCGAGGCCTACCGATCCAATTAGCGCGAGGCAAGTTCTAGTTTGTCACATAGCGCAACTGCCATCCATCATCGACCTCGGGACCTCTAACCTCGAAATCATTCCAAGTTCTCGACCGTCCCTCTCTCTCCACTCGTCCACAATCGCCAACATGAGTTGTCTCAGGATGCGCCAGACGCAGCTTGCACGCCAGGTGAGTCCCTCTCATGTTCCATGTGCCACACATAAGACTGCACGGCCGTATGCCCGGCATTCTCCGCATGAGGGCGTGTGCCACATCCCACGGTGCACTGACAGAAGACTCGCATGGCGCAGCCATGCACGCCATGCCTCTCCACGGTCGCTCCTCTATGCTGGGAATGCGTTGCCGTGTGCGCAACTTTACACAGATCAATGGCTAACATGTGCCGCCACAGCTCACGAAGAGCTTCCGCCAATCGACACGAGCTTTTTCATCGACACGGCCCGCGGCACGTATCTACGGTACCGGAAACCTGAGAGCAAAAGAAGCCTCAGGCTTCATCTCGCAGAAATACCCTGTGATAGACCACGAATACGATGCCATTGTTGTCGGCGCCGGAGGAGCGGGTCTGCGAGCGGCCTTTGGTCTCGCTGAAGCTGGGTTCAACACTGCCTGCATATCGAAGCTGTTCCCCACGCGATCACACACAGTAGCCGCACAGGGAGGTATCAACGCTGCGCTTGGAAAGTAAGTGAAAACCCTGCAGAGCGACAACAAAAAGGGAATTAACGACCGTCTAGCATGCACGAGGACGACTGGCGGTGGCACATGTACGATACCGTCAAGGGTTCAGATTGGTTGGGTGACCAGGATGCTATTCACTACATGACCAGAGAGGCTCCCCAATCTGTCATTGAACTTGAAAACTACGGCTGCCCATTCTCAAGAACAGACGATGGAAAAATGTATGTTTTCGTGTCAAGAACTGTGCGGGACCAAAACATTAACGCATTCTAGTTACCAGCGTGCTTTCGGTGGACAGTCTCAAAAGTATGGCAAGGGTGGACAGGCATACCGATGCTGCGCTGCTGCTGATCGTACTGGCCATGCTCTCCTTCACACATTGTACGGACAATCGCTACGACACAACACCAAGTACTTTATCGAGTACTTTGCCACTGACCTGATCATGGAGGATGGCGTTTGCAAGGGTGTCATTGCCTACAACCAGGAAGACGGAACCATCCACCGATTTATCGCAAAGAACACCGTCTTGGCTACTGGAGGTTACGGACGCGCCTACTTCAGCTGCACATCTGCCCACACCTGTACCGGTGACGGTATGGCCATGGTTGCCCGCGCCGGTCTTCCCAACCAGGATCTCGAATTTGTCCAATTCCACCCCACTGGTATTTATGGTGCTGGATGTCTGATCACCGAGGGATCTCGTGGTGAGGGAGGATATCTCCTCAATTCCGAGGGTGAGCGATTCATGGAGCGTTATGCACCTACCGCCAAAGATCTCGCCTCCCGTGACGTTGTCTCCCGATCCATGACGCTTGAGATCCGTGAGGGGCGTGGTGTTGGACCTGAAAAGGACCACATTTACCTCCAGCTCAGCCATTTGCCTGCCGAGGTTCTACACGAGCGTCTGCCTGGTATCTCTGAGACTGCCGCCATTTTCGCCGGTGTGGATGTAACCAAGCAGCCCATTCCTGTCCTGCCCACTGTGCACTACAACATGGGTGGCATTCCAACTAAGTACACTGGTGAGGTCATCACACAAGATGAATCAGGTAACGACCAGGTTGTGCCTGGACTGTTCGCTTGTGGTGAAGCCGCCTCCGTCTCCGTCCACGGTGCCAACCGTCTCGGAGCCAACTCCCTCCTTGATCTTATCGTCTTCGGTCGCGCCGTATCGCACACCATCCGTGACAACTTCAGCCCCGGACAGAAGGCTGACCCTGTCGCCGCTGACGCCGGTGCCGATTCGATCGCCGTCCTCGACCAGATCCGCACCTCTGAAGGTGCCAAGTCCACCGCCGAAGTCCGTCTCCAAATGCAAAAGGTCATGCAGACTGACGTTGCCGTATTCCGCACCCAAGAGTCGTTAGACGAGGGTGTCCAGAAGATCCACGACGTCGACTCGCAATTCGCCGACATTGGCATCAAGGACCGCAGCATGATTTGGAACTCTGACCTTGTCGAAACCCTTGAGCTGAGGAACTTGCTCACGTGCGCTGTCCAGACGGCCGAATCGGCCGCCAACCGCAAGGAGTCGAGAGGAGCGCACGCGCGTGAGGACTTCCCTGATCGTGACGACGAGAACTGGATGAAGCACACGTTGTCGTGGCAGAAGAAGCCGCATGGTGAGACCAAGTTGGGCTACAGGAAAGTGGTTGGTACCACGCTGGATGAGAATGAGTGCAAGGCTGTGCCACCTTTTAAGCGTACCTACTAGAGAGGTTTTTACTTTTGTTTTCCGGTATGCGGTTTTGAGGGTGGAGGGGGGAGGGGGGTCGTTTGAGCACCATGGCATTTTTGGGACCGGGAAATGGGGGAAAAAGGATGGGGATGGAATGGGGATGGAAATGGCCAGGGCTCTTGTATTCTTATGTACAATTGGATGACTGATTGAAATGAGGAGAGGGTGTTTGGAAGCATGTTGGAGGCTTTTGGACCTGTTTGGGTTTGTGGGGTTGAAGAGGAGGTGTTGTTTTGTTGTGTCGTTGTTGAGGATGTATAGACAGAGAGAGCGTGTGTGTGGGAGAATTTAAGAATTGTTGGTTCAAAGATTGGGGCATTGGTGTGTTGATGTGTTTATGCGTTGTTGGTTATTATCTGTTACGCACTGGATGGATTATTGACATGCTTTCTTAGAGTTCTTTTATTAAGGCTGGATTTTGAATGCGTTTATGGGGTTTACAGTATTAGGATGAGTGATGTTATCTTGTGCTAAGGTAAAGCTTTAAGGCAATTATGTGATGAGATGGGCTATGGTATTTAATATTGTACAAGCACATTTATCCTACCCCTTCACTCATCTATTCTACATTTCATTTTAGTTATTTTGAGTACATTCATTTAGAGCAAAGTGTTGTCAAGGATTTACCTTTTATTTACTTGCCTAGGAAGGCTTTTATACATCATGTCAGGAAATAAGAGGACTGTTAAAGTATGGAAATTAAGAAACATGATATCATGTAGTCTATGCTCGTCGTTATAAACCCCCTTCCATGTTGGTTGATGTATACATGAAGACATTGCAAATGTGTTGTATGGCATTAGCCTCTCATCAACGTGTGTACACTAAACAGCAAGCATACAGCCTCAACGATGCTATAATCGCATTCATGATATAAAACGCCATGACTCCTTGTCAATGGATTAAAACCAAGATTCCCATCCACCCACTCGTCCATCCATGCCTCCAACTCATGAGTTGAGATTTCTCGCATAACAGTCCAAACACCACGAGTCTGCCTCTTTGCCGACCTCGACTATGCACTTTTTGCATATCGCTTTCCCGCATCCTCCCACACATTGTCGGGCACATATGTAACATGTGCGCTCATCACAGCGGTTGCAATCGAGGTAGTTCTCCAGATCTCTTTTTCGCTTGGGGGCTGATCTACAGGCGTGGCATGGTCTTAGGTCCGAGGCGGCATGTGATTGGGCATTGCTACCTTGTGGGGCAATCTCAATGTCCATGAGCTGGGACGTTGATTTCACAAGGGCGGTTGCTTTGGGGTTGATTCGCTTCAACTGCTTTACTGGTCGTCGTTCTGCTGTGCTGTGTTGTTGTGCGATCGGGTACACAACATATGAGAGGTTCCTATTGGTGTCAAAGGGCGGGGTGCTGTGGCACTGTGATCGAGCAGAATCTCGACCAAGCGGGTGCATGCGATGTTGGTGGCCATAAGTGCTGCATGCCTTGTTAGCGACCGTTTTCTGTAAGCGTCGTGGCATCGTCTCGTACCCTGTTGCTCCGTCTTCTCCTCCCTGTCGTTTCCGCTTGCCGAGGCCTCCTGGTGCATGCTGTGAACTGGCCATTGGGGACCAATGTGTCGAGCTAGAGGGTTGTTCATGGCCATGCGACGTATCTGGGCCGAACAAATCCGAGGTGATGTACACCATATCAGTGTTTTCTTGGTGAGAATAGGAAGAGAGCGGGATGAGAGGGCGGACAAGCGACGGGCAACGGGCAGCGATGAAGGAACAGACACGCTTGATGGGACTGAATGAGGCGGTGGAGAAGGGTATCGAGGCTTCAACGCTGGACGATAATGCACAAATCAAGGCGGAATGAGTGTGAGTAGTTGGAGCAGGACTTGTGATGTGCCCTTCAGAGAGGGATGTTGTTGCCCGGGAGGATCACCTTTTTAGTTCAGTCCTGCCTAGCGCTTCAGTCACGGCTGGGAAGGCACCACCGAGCCCATGTTGCAGGGACCCCCACAAACCCACGTTTCACGTGTTGTGTTTGTCCCAAGCGGGTGGTCGCCCTTTGCTTAAGACCGGGGGGGGGGGCTTTCTGCGACGCCAGAGCAAAAGGGTGAAAGGTTGGCTGGACATTGACGACTCACGACTCACGACTCACGGCTCACTGCACATATTCTTATTTTGGCATATTGGCGTTCTCTATAATGCCATCATCTCTGTCCAGGTAGATTTGGCGCAATTCACCCTCTCCACATTCCTACCCCACATTTGGGCCTCCTCCCGCAGCAGGTGCAGCCATGGACAGCGTGAATGTCTCGGAGCTGGTCGCGCGGCTGGGTGCAGAGGAGGAGTCGGTGCGCAAGATGGCCGTCTTCAAGTTGCAGAATGCCATTGGGGACCCCTCGTTCGCCGACGTCTTCATATACGAGGGAGGCCTACCGAAGCTGAGTTTCCTGGCGCTGCATTCCACAGGCAACACATTAGCCTACTGCCTTACATCACTGGCGCGTCTGCTGGAACTCGACAAGGGATGGGACCATGTGACAGACGAGCTGATAGCCAGGGTAGGTTCAAGAGCACAGATGGATGGGGCGCATAGCAAGATCTAACAGGGAGACAACAGATAGTCGACCTCGTCGTCGCCCAACCTCTGGTCAACGTCAATCGAGGGGCCATGTCGGTACTCGCAGCCATTGTTGGCAATCCCTCCCATCGCAACTCGGCATCGAACAGCTCTGGGACCAGCTCTGGCTTTCAACGACTGAAGCCTGCCGTCGACACTCAGCCGCAATTTCTGCCTGTACTGGTCGAGAAGATGACCTCGGCTGATCATGCGCTCTGTGCCAACTCACTCCAGCTGATCAATGCGCTCATGCGTGACGCCATTGCAAATGATGCTGCCTTCGAATGGCCCAAGTTCGTCAAGCAGCTGCAGGAGCTAGGGGTAATCAAGAGCGTATATGAGCTGATGCAAAGTTCGGCGATACAAGACCTGGCACATCCTCTTCTAGAATTCCAATCCCTGACCAAAATACTGTTGAGGAAGTGGAGAGAAGACAAGGTGGACCTGGAGAACACGGATCATCGAAGAGCGCTGCGTGGTCTGCATACTGCAAGCGGTCCAGACAAGTCAGAGAAGGATGACAAGGGAAGCAAGAGGCAGGACCCGGCCAAGTGGAGGCGCCTTGGCTTCGAAACTGAGTCGCCCGCGTGGGAGTTTGACAGGGCCGGCTTTCTGGGCCTGATGGATCTGACCGATTTCGTTTACAAGAACGAAGATGGCTTCCAGAAATTGATATTGGAGCAAACTGTTGAACCTGCTGAACAGAGATGTCCCATCGCCCGTGCGAGCCTTTCTGTCACTGAGATTCTTTATGAGCATTTCGAAGTGGACAAGACCGAGGACGTAGAAACTCACAGATACACTGCCATGGAATCTCGGGCCAACTTTGATAGGGCGTTCAAGCCTCTTTTGCTTCATTGGTCAAGGCTGCACACGAGTGGATTGAATGCCTTTCTAAGGTTGTGGAAGGTGGCGGGTGCACAGGTGGAAGACTATGAAAAAATTGAGGAATTGGTGCGCATCCTGGTCGAGCAGATTGTGGGGCAAGCGCCTCGCATGAGGGACATCAAGGATGTTGAAGAAGAGATGGCAGAATTTGAGTTGAAGCGACTAAGGGAGCTCCAGATGGAACTACTTGAGCTAACGTACGAAGATGCGTGGGGTCATCATCTGCGGTACGTCCAGGGAACCATCATTCTAAGGTCTGGCCAAGCTGACGTCTTACAGACAAGTTCGCGACGAGCTCAACCACGAGGCTCTCCAGTTCGTCAAGGAGCAACGCATCAGATGTCTTCTCCAAGGAGCATGGTTCCCAATGGGAGTGGATTACGGGTCCAATTCTGGCCCGGTTACGAGCAAGACCCTGACCCGTGTTGTGCCCTCAGCGTGGCGCTTCGTGCGACTGTCACACAACCGGAGATACCTGCATTATGCAGACTTTGACGAAAAGACGACGTCTGAACCGAGGTTGGACGCGCTGCAGGAAAAGAGTGAGTGCTACGTGGCAAAGCAAGTTGTGTGGTTTGTGTTACCGCTGTGGCTGACGTGGGTGATTAGTCGATCTCTGCATCGTGTCCTCTGTTGTGAGCAATGTCTCAGCGTCGGCCCCGTCCACATCGTCATCTGACAGTACGGTGACAACCCTGCCAGGCCACGAGCGGGCGTCGACATCTACGAAGATCACCATCCATGGCTATCTTGGCCACTCTCATCATGCACGCCAGGCTTCGGCTGGCTCAGGCGGTGGGCGGAAAGAATCGGTGCTGTTGCAACTACACCCACAGAGCCATACGCTTGCGTCTGAGTGGCTTGATGGGCTGCTAATGCTACTGAACCAGCAGCCGATTACGGCAGATACTAACAAGCTCGTTAGCTTCATTGGCGGGTACGGCCTCAAGATGAACGGCGAAGATGACCCTATGTCGATATCTACCATCATTAAA